TAAGCAAATCCGATGCTTTTGAGGATGATATTGGTGTTGCTTTTGTGTTTGTGTTTGTGTCTTGTGATGTAAGAGATTATTGGAGTTGTTTTTAAGAATATCCATCCAGCTAAAGATTTATTTGTCGTATGCTAAATGGATTACTTAATAAAAATGAATATAGAATATTAGATAAATGAATACCGTTTAAAGAATAGACTTGTTGATATATAGTTGGTATGTGTTTGGTTGTAGTCAGTTGTATCGAGTTATGTGGTAGGATATCGTGGTGGCATTTGGCCGGTATTTTGAATTTGGTGTTTATATTTTTATTCAAAACTATTTGGAAAATCTCAACATATTTTTTTGAAAATACAATTAAGAGTTTTTAGTTATTCTATCAATAATAAAAATAATTTGTTAAAGTAAAGTCAAATCAAAAATTAAAGATTTTTTTTAAACTAACGATTACGGATTCAAAGAGCTTTAGTTACATATTATATAATTTCAGTAGTTCTTTAATTATATTTAACACATTCATTATTTATATGCTTAAAGTTGGAATTGGTTCTTTAATTATTATTTATGAACCTGTTTAGTGATTTAACTTTATTTAGACGTAAGACCATTTGATTTTTAAAACTCTATCAATTAGACATGTTACCATACATTTTTATTACATATTATCCCCAAGTTTTAATTCTTATAAATTCTTTTACAAACTTTATTTTCCTAAAACTTAATATTTCATAATTTTTTTTAATCATTTTTACATCTTCATTTTTTTTTGACAACCTCATTTTTTACAGTTTCATTTCTTTACCGCTTACATTTTAATTTTATTTCAGATTACAACAAATATTATTATGAATAGGCTAACCGTAAAAAAAACAATGTAAATGGCAATAACTATAGCAAGCGAAGTTGTAAAAAAACGAAGTAAAAAAATCAATGGACTTGTAGCTAGTGATATTAGATGTTGTTCTTTTTTGAGGTCGGGGTTCAAGTTTCATTTGAGATATATGTGAATGAAAAATAGATTATATTTTCCTTTTAAAAAATATGAATTAACTTAAGTAAAAACCATGCGAAAGTTTGTAGCAAAACAAAGTTGTAAAAAAACTTTTAAAATAAAATACTATCAAAAAGTAAAGTTCGACAACAACGCAGAAACATGAAAACAAAGTTATGAAAAGACCTATAAAAATACTTGTCAGGCAAAGTTGTAAAATAAAATAAAACAAATAAAATAAAAAAATACAGTTAAAAACAAAGTTGTAATAGCTTTAAAGTTGTGACCAAATTTGTAATAAAAAATAAAATATGGGGCGAATTTCTAAATAAAATAAAGAATGGTTAACCTGAGCATGTCACAAGAAAATTGATATAATTTTGAAAATTAGTAACATTATTAAATGACTAAATGAATACATATAAACAATTTCGTAGTTATTTTAACCTTTAACTATTATCAATATTTAAACAGACAAGAAAAATGTTATTAGGCCAAACCAATTTGATCTACGGGAGTTTTTGGCAAAATTTGTTGGCTTTTATTTGTGCACAACCGTACAGAAACAATAAATATTAACTTGTAAAGATGCAAAATTAAATAAAAATTAAGAGCTACTTGAAGTGTATCTTTTGAATTATGAATTTGTTGATTAATATAAAAAATAAAACTCAAAGTACCAAAGGAAGATTCTTTTATTTCGAGTTTTTTTCTTAAAAACTAAAAATTAAAAGTTTCAAAAATCTCTCCAAAGCTAACGTACAAGGACACCGCTTGTTCTGATTGTTACACTTGCACAACATGTCGGACCAAGCGAGCAGCCGAGTTTGACACATTTGATCATCAACCAACTTGCCACTTTGCCCTACCTATCATTCTACCTTCTTTTAGAATCTCTTTTTCAGTGGGTATATATTTATTTTGCAATAAAAACCAATTTCTTTACAAAATATACCAAAAATATTTACTTTCTTTCTTGCTCTTCACATAGCCGAAGAATCTTGACATCAACATGGTCGCATTATATTATTATATTTTATTTATTTGTTGATCGTTGTTGAATTTTGAATTATAATGCCGACTTTACTCGGGACTATATTATTAGACAACCAAAGATTATGGAAATGCATTTGTTTGACAAAATTGTGTGTGAATATTTCATCATCTAATAAACATGAAAAAAAATCTATACATGTTTTTTTCATGGAAGACAGATCAAACCCGATACTTGTACCTCCATTTCTATAAGATAAAAGAAAAAAACACAATAAAACCCGTAGTTTACAATATATGTACCCAAACTTAATCTTAATCGTGTATATAATAGAGGATCATCTATATATCTCTTCATATCTGACCATCAAATTACTGTTCTCCTTCGGAAAACCTGCAAAAACAACATAAAATACATTCAACTTCTATTTTATGTACCTACCAAATACCATACATTTAAAATAAAATAATAATTAAAAACAGAGGATCCTAGATTCTCTTGAAAGCTAAACCTAACTGAAATCTTGGACAAAAGTGAGTAAGCTGCCAAATGTTAAGGGGTGTGGCACATGGTCATGAGTCATGCCTGAATTTGGCTCAACAACATGAGACACATTTTCAAGGAAAAAAGTAATCTTTTTTCAGATATCAAGCAATCTGCTCCCTTGGGAAAGGTGTTGGCATGGCCATTTCATAAATTATAAATATATATTTATATAGTAATATACAATATAAACCAATGGCCCACTAAATGGGACAACTCAAACCACATGTACAGTACAAGTCAGTGATGCATGTGAGAAAGATTCTGTTACCTGAAACTTGTAAATGTGAATCTGGGCTGGCCATTGAAAAGATTGGTGTTGAGATGAGATGGGAACAGTTTATGCGTCAACTTTTAGTTTTGCAGTTTCACTTTCACCCTTTCATCTTGAAGAATCTTTTTTGTGTACCTTGGAAACCCATTCTTGAATGTCGACACCTGATCAAAATAAAATAACTAATCTTGTTAAATTTTATTAAGCAAAACCCTTTTCCCTAATTCAATAAAGATCAAATCTTGGATGATATTGCTAAAGTTATACCTAAAGGGTATCGTTATCTTCTAAGGAGTTTAAATAAAGTTCCTTATGCCAAGGGAATGTTGTGGATTCCTAACAAAACACTTTCGGTGTAGTATAATTTTATGCATCTTATTCCATAAATATTAGGGCTAGCTAATCACTAATTTACCCATTCATCTACTTATGTTTCAATTCGTTACTATTTTTTTTTATCAGTTTATGCAACTAATTTATGTTACATTCTCGAAGCTTCTTGATGTCGACAACGAAATATTATAGAGATTATATATTGAAGTGCCCGTCTTAGGTTTCGATGTGGAGGAAATTTTTAAAATTAATAGATATTTTATATGAGGTAAAAGAAAATCAAAACGCGTATAAAGTCAATTTCTTGAAGGGTCAAAATCAACTTATTAATAACCCTACAATCTGGACATTCTCCTCTCTTGCAGTTGGCATGTTATGGCCCGTCTATGGAGGGTCCCCGCATTGATGAGTTGTACATTAACAAGATGTCCCTAACTTTGCCAAAAGTCCTATGAAATTACTTTCGATAAATTCGATGGCTTTTACTTAATTACTACTATATTTTTAATAAATAGGCATGAAATATTAGTTAGATATGATATATATCTCAAAAATCTAAATTCCTCTCTACCAACTTGAATAGTCAACAATCGACAACGGCAAAACAAGAAAAACGTTTCACGTCTACAAGCTGTACTGCATACTGTACAAGTAGTTATGCATAGGGTACAACTTCCTGATGCATGATGCAATATTTAGAGATATATAGAACAAAAGTGGACTCGAGGTGGGTTTTTTGATATGTTTAATGGGTATCAATCTTTTACTTATTTTGTAGATTTAGTATTGATTTTTTTTATATTTAACTTTGATTATATAGAGCTGTGATTGTGAAGAATCGTGATTAATGGAGGAAACCGGACTTACAGCTTCGACGTCGATTTTGTAGACAAGAAGCTTGCGTCGTTCTCTGCAACTAGTCCGGTAAGCCACCACGATGTGGCCAATGGCCAACGAAAGCGAACAAATAAATAAAGCCACCTCCGCTGCGGAGAAACCGCTACTTCTGCCGCCGAACACATACGACGCTTTTACCGATACAAACAACAAAGAAACCACCGAACAAACAGTCGTAATTCCCAAGTATGGACCCCTTGATAGGCCCGGACCATCGCATAGTCCATACACACCTACCAAATTCACAAAACCCCCCGATCAGCTAAGTGTTTAGAACACAAATTAAGAAATCGTTAATTTTATAGAGAGCTATTAAATTGATTACTTACAGAGAATGATTGCGGATCTGATTATAGAAATTAGAGGGATATCGATCAAAGAGTATCGAAAATCGTAGTTACTCAAATGGGACGATAGGGTTTGGAGCAAGGAGAAGGCTGGTGAGGGATCAGGGAACGGAGAATCCGACGGCGCTGAAAGAGAAGCCGATAATAGAGCTGTGGGAAGTAAAGCATCGGCGACGGCGAACAGTATCGGAGCAGAGAAGAACAGAAACGATATAATCATGGTTACCAAAAAGAAGACTGTTTTGAATCCTCTCAAAGCTTTCTTACTTCTTTCGTCTTTCAAAAAACCCATGATTGTGTGTTGTGGCTTACCGGAAGTGCGTGTTGATTTGGAGTTATAAAAATGGAGGTTAAGGGAAGGGGGGAGGAAAATGGGGAGGGAGGAAGGTGGATTTGACTAGAGAAGGAGCAAAAGCGGAAGCAGACTTATGGGAAAATCAATGGGGGCAAAGGAGGGTCAAATAGGGAAAACACTTTCTCTCTCATCAACGCTTTCTCTCTCTAGACATTCTAGAATTGTTTAATAGTAAACCGTATGGAATGTGTGTGGGTGGTGTGGTGGGGTCATGTACTCATGTGTAAAATTTAACGGCAATTACCTGAACAAATCAACTTCTTAAACCACATGTAACTGGATTTCCTGGTTATCAGTTATCTAGAAGCTATGTTTTCTCTTGTTTTTAACTTTTGATTATTATTATTTTTCTACCATCGATTATCAACGACAATAATCAATATCGTTACATATTCAATTGCATTAATTTTACTTATAATCATTTTTAAGTACTTATCTTTATTTATACATATATATACATTTTAAATATATAGATATACTTAATATTTAGCTTGTTTCAATCTAAAAATCTTAGATTTAAACTTTATATTCTGTTGAAATGTTTAATTATGGTTGGTTTTTGGTTAAGGCCAATTTTGAAACTGACATCGGCACTCGGCGTTATGATTGGCTTATTTATATTAGTTCAATTGTTTTTTATAAGATGTCTATTTATATAAATATAAAAGTTGTTTACAAAAATCATGTGTTAGCTAATAATTAATACCAAATGATTTATACCGTATAGTCTAACAATATCAGTTGTTTGTTTGTTTTTTTTTTTTTTTTTTTTTTTTTTTTTTT